ACGTCACACCATTTTCCACGCCCAGCTGTTGTTATGGTCTATGCGTTTGCTGCGTATTTTTGGAGGTTATATCCTAGACGTATTCCTATTATTTTTGAAGTTTTATGCTTTTAGACGTATTAATGTCTATCATATAACCTCGAAAAATACTAAGGAAATGACTATGCAATCGCGTAATTTTTTTTTGTACTGCCAAATTTGAATTCCGTGTACTCATGGTGTTCCATAGACCGTTTAGAACATCTTAGGAACAAAAAATATTAAAAAAATTAAAATTGCCAATTTAGAAGTTAAGGAACAAATATTTTTGGCATTGCCGAAATTGAAATGTGTGTATTAGTCGTGTTCCCAAGGATATTTTACGTATTTTAGAACAAAAAAATTTCAAAATTAAAAATTTTAAATTTGGGGCTAAGGAACTGACTTTATGCAATCGCGTAATTTTTTTTTGTACTGCCAAATTTAAATTGGGTACTCATCGTGTTCCTTGGATCATTTTGAACACCTTAGGAACAAAAAAAATAAAAAAATTGAAATTGCGACTTTAAAAATTAAGGGATTAAGTATTTTTGATATTGCCAAAATTGAAATGTGTGTATTAGCCGTGTTCCAAAGGATATTTTACGTATTTTAGAAGCAAAAAATTTAAAAATTTTAAATTTGGGGCTAAGGAACTGACTTTATGCAATCGCGTAATTTTTTTTTGTACTGCCAAATTTAAATTGCGTGTACTCATCGTGTTCCTTGGATCATTTTGAACATCTTAGGAACAAAAAAAAATAAAAAAATTGAAATTGCGACTTTAGAAATTAAAGAATTAAGTATTTTTGATATTGCCAAAATTGAAATGTGTGTATTAGCCGTGTTCCAAAGGATATTTTACGTATTTTAGAAACAAAAAATTATCAAAATTTAAAAATTTTAAATTTGGAGCTAAGGAACTGACTTTATGCAATCGCGTAATTTTTTTTTGTACTGCCAAATTTAAATTGGGGGTACTCATCGTGTTCCTTGGAATATTTTGAACATTTTAGGAATAAAAAAATAATTAAATAATTAAAATTGCAAAATTTAGAGCTAAAAAAATAACTTTTTGCAAAAAAAATCTCGTATTGAGGAAACCAATAAACGCTTCCCTTTATAACCAATAACGAACTAATTTTCTGCACCAGCTAGAATCGTTAACGTTTCGTTTGGAGATTCGCTCGGATTTTCCAAAGGCTATAATAAAACCAATTCGAAAAATATTATCGGTTTGAAGTGCTAAAAGCTCTTTGAAATCGAAATAAATAAATAAAAAAAAGGAAGTAGTGGTTATTTCAGAGAATCCTTGTGTCAAATAAAACTTGATTGTGTTCCGTTTTAAAAAAGTGTAAATATTTTTTTGTAAATTAAAAAAAAATTGTACAGTAAGTGTGCTTTAAATACAAAGATAATTGTTTAAATTATTTTTAAATGGGATTAAATTAATTTTTGCAGCGGGGATCGCCCTAAAAAAAGAAATTTCGGCACTGATAGAGGATATACGGGAAATATCGAAGCTATAATGAGAGCTATGGTTTATTGCGAACAACACCCATCGAAAGAAATCTGCAAATCGTTCCTGTAAGGATTTTCTTTACTAAACCGAAAAAAAAAAATCTTAGACATTTTCTCGTTTTTTTTTTTAAGTTACGTGAAAAAAAATCTAAGAAGAAAATAAACGATTTAGGTGCGATCTAATGTATTATAATAAAAATTAAAAATGTATAAAAAAAAACTTTTTGTTTCGTGAATAAATAAATCTTTCGAGATAAGTGTTATTTTCTCGCCAAGTATTTTCACTAAAAATTCTGAAATGACATCTAAACATCGAGGCATCCCAAAAATAGAGGGTCCAAAATGCCGAGTACTGCAGTCATTTGGCACCAAACAATACAAACCCGGCGGATTCGGTGATTTATTGTTATTAATAATACAAAAGTGTGTTTTTTTATTTTGGCCCAAAAAAATCTTATTTTTTAAATTTATTTTATTTGTTTATTTATTTTAACTTTTATTTTATTATTTTTTTTTATAGTTTTGAAACGAATATGAAGAACGATTGGGATGACGATGATGAATTTCTTATGAATCAATTGTGTCAAAAATGGAAATCTTCCAATATGAGATCGTAATTAATTTTTTTTTTATTTTAACCATTTGCATCATAATTAGCTCAAATATACACGGATTATTTATGGCCATTATCACCGAAGCACACACATTTTTAATAGGGAGTGAAATAGATATTATTTACATAATTATTATTACTTAATAGATCACATTAGATCTAGAACCAGAAACATTCGAGTCTCAAAAAATGGCTAAACCCAAATGTTTCTAGTTCTAGGTCTAAAGTCGAGGTATTACTACCACAAACCTAAATACTGCTGTCAAAAGACTAGATACTGTTGCAAAAGACTAGTTACTGCTTACAAAAATAGATGCTGCTTCTAGAATAGCTGATAGCACCGATGGAAGATTAGATATTACTTTCAAAAGGCAGAATATTGTTGGCTGAAAACTTATTATTACTGGCAGAGGACTAGATCTGTTACAGAGCATCGGATACTGCTGATACAAGACTAAGTTTTCTAGAAAACTAGATTTTGTCACCAAAAGACTAAATATTTCTGGCATACGATCTGAAACTGCTTCTAAAACACTAGATAATGGAACTAAAAGTCTAAACACTGCAGTAAAAAGAACATAAACTGCTACCAGAATACTAGATACTGTTGTTATATTACTATATATCACTAATGCAAGACAAAAAATGACAAAAAAGTAGATAATGCTACTAAATAAGTAGATACTACCGATGGAAGACTAATAAGATATTGTTTCCTGAAAAATATTGTATTTTGTTGTAAAACACCAGATATTACTGATAAAAGATTATGTACTGCTTTTCAAAGTCGAGATATTACTACCACAAAACTAAATACTGCTGCCAAAAGACTAGATACTGTTGCAAAAGACCAGTTACTGCTGACAAAAATAGATGCTTCTTCTAGAATAGTTTATAGTACCGATGGAAACTAGATTTTGTCACCAAAAGACTAAATATTTCTGGCATACGACCTGAAACTGCTTTTAAAACACTAGATAATGGAGCTAAAAGTCTAAATACTGCAGTAAAAAGAACATAAACTGCTTCCAGAATACTAAATACTGTTGTTATATTACTATATATCACTAATGCAAGACAAAAAATGACAAAAAAGTAGATAATGCTACTAAATAAGTAGATACTGCCGATGGAAGGCTAATAAGATATTGTTTCCTGAAAAATATTGTATTTTGTTGTAAGTCACCAGATATTACTGATAAATGATTATGTACTGCTTCTCAAAGTCGAGATATTACTACCACAAAACTAAATACTGCTGTCAAAGGACTAGATACTATTGCAAAAGACCAGTTGCTGCTGACGAAAATAGATGCTTCTTCTAGAATAATTTATAGTACCGATGGAAGACTAGATACTACTTTCAAAAGACTAATTATTGTCGCTGGAAGACTTATTATTGCTGGCAGAGGAGTAGATCTGTTACAGAACACTACATACTGGCAATACAAGCCTAAGTAGATGATATTGTTTCTAGAAAACTAGATTTTGCCACCAAAAGACTAAATATTTCTGGCATACGACCTGAAACTGGTTCCAAAAAACTAGATAATGAAGGTAAATGTCTAGATATTGCTGTAAAAAGAACATAAACTGCTTCCAGAATACTAGATACTACTGATGAAAGACTAATAAGATATTATTTCCAGAAAAATATTGTATATTGTTGTAAAACACAAGATTATGCTAATAAAAGATTATATACTACTTCTCAAAGCTGACATATTACTACCACAAAATTAAATACTACTGTCAAAAGAATAGAGAATAGAGACTATAAAAAAGATGCTGCTTGTAGAATAGCTGATAGTGCGTATAGAAGACTAGATACTACTTTCAAAAGATTAAATATTGTCGCCGGAAGACTTATCATTGCTAGTAGAGGACCAGATCTGTTACAGAACATCAGATACTGTGGATACAAGACTAAGTAGATAATATTGTTTCTAGAAAACTGAATATTGTCACCAAGAGACTAAATATTGCTAAAGCCTTATTAAAGGAAGACTTATTATTGAAACTGTTCAAAGTTTGAACATCTTTGGATCTTTGGAGCTATGTGATTATGATAGACGAAGCACATTTGAAATGCCTTTACATTCACCAAAAGTTACTATTTGGTGCGGCGTTCTTCGAAGACGTTGTTCTCCGAATTTTTTGGCAAGTGAATCCGAAGAAAATAACATGGGTGACTACTAATTTCACCAAGATGGTGTAACATGTCATGTTGCCCGATTAACTATGGATTTACTGCGTACCATGTTTCCAAATTCGCTTGATTTGACACCTCCTGACCCTTTCCTGTGGGAATACCTTAAAAGCAAGTTTATGTTAGCACACCAGATACTCTCGAGCAACTTAACGCCAGAAAATCGCAGATCGAAACACTCGCAAAAGTGAAAAAAGGCCCAATTTTGTGGTGACAGCTGGAGGAGGTCTAACTACTAAACAAGTTGTATAAGTCCAAATTTCAATAAAATTATAGAATGTAAACAAAATATTGAGTTGTGTTCAAGTTATTTCTTGTACCTTGTATAAGACAAAAAATAATAAAAAAGCAGATAATGCTTCAAAATAAGTAGATACTACCGATGGAAGACTAATAAGATATTGTTTCCAGAAAAATATTGTATTTTGTTGTAAAACATCAGATTATGCTGATAAAAGATTATATACTACTTCTCAAAGACGAGGTATTGCTACCAGAAAACTAAATGCTGCTGTCAGAAGACTAGATCTGCAACATAACATTAGACACTGCTGATACAGGACTAGATATTATTTTTAGAGAACTTGATATCGTCACCAGAACACTAAATATTGCTGGTAGATGATTGGATACTGCTTCCAAAAGACTAGATACTGTAGGTAAAAAACTAAATGCTGCTGTAAAAAGAATAGAAACTAGAACTAGAAACATTCAAATCAGACAAGATCATCCACTGGGGTGAATCGCGATTCTAGCTGGATAAAATTATTTTATGGACTTAACAAGGACTTGAAGACTAGAATGGCAAAAAAATATATATACAGGTGTTCAGAAATTGATGGATAATCAACACGTAGCGACATTCTTCGTTCGATTTTAAATCGAAAATCTTAATTGTAAAATGTTGTACCATGCTTCGTACGTCTTCATGAGGTTCTTAAAGTTCGGATAATTTGTCCATAAATAATCATTAATATTCAATATCTGTTGATAACAAAGCTGTAATTTAGAATAAAAAGAATGTTGAAAACTAGTTTTTGTGGTAAAGTTATTTTCTTTAGCTTTAAAGTTCGTTTTTAACTGTTTTTAAATTTGGCAACATAGTAGAACAACATTTTAACATTAAGATTTTCATTTAGGTGTTTTAGTTCTCAGAACAAAATTTTGACTGAATTTTGAGGTTTTGCATATTCCTTTTAGGAAAAATTGAAATCAAAATCATCTTCCGATTCGCTCGGAGAATACTTCTCTCCACTTCGCTATGCTGCTCATTAACGATATTCTCTTCCACTGAATCTTCCGCTGATTCGTAATCAGCACATCAAAAGATCACGCCAATACCAAGTTTTATAAAAATATATTATTAATTATATCATAATAAAGAAATTCAAAAAATTTGAAGTCAACCACATCTAATGAAAAATAGTTGCACAGTAAAATGTAAAGAATTTTTTAATTTTCACGAAGCAAAATCACACCCTTAAATCGGATGTTTTCAGTGCTTGAAACTTCGTTTTAAAAGTTATCTAAACTAGTTAGATTAACACTCAAACAAAAATAAATAATCACATTTATAAGGAAGATCACATTAATGTATTATGCTCTAATTGCATTAGACAGTTTTCAAAGTAATGAATGAAGTATTATTTTTTATATAGTATATTTATAGTATATTTTTTATATTGAATATCTGATTTGACATTGATTTTTTACTTTTGGCCAGCTAGAATCGAAATTCAGCCCAGTGTGCAGCATTAAACTATCACTTAGTACTCCACTATTCACAGGAATTAGTATCTCGTTTAGGTGTTGGACACTACAGATAATAAACAAGTTCAGCCCCAATAGTACTCATTGCAATAATCCCAATACGATATATAAAATGTCTTGTTACAGTTTCGTCTAGTTTTCTTCTCTTCGCTTAAAATCATTGTCACATTCATTACTAACAGAACTGTCGCTGTTATCACATTCGATTATTAATTAAAGTATCCTCTTTTTAACGCAACAAACCGTTTTGAAAAATCACTTTTAGTTTTTGAGAAATAAATTTTTAAAATGATCGATAATTTTTTCGAATTTTGCAATTTTTGCCGATTAAGTTTTAAAAATTCGTATAAAATCCAGTTCTTGGAATATGAGTAAGAAAATTTCTCAAAATATTGATAAAAGTGTCTTCTTTCCAATGAACCAACCAGTTTTGAAAAATAGCTTTTAGTTTTTGAGAAAACAATATTTGAAATTTTGATAAATTTTCAATGTTAAATTTTCATCGATAATTTTCAAAATTCGCTATAAAATTCATTTCTTGAAGAATCCTTGTGGAAATATTACCAATTATTAATTAAAGTATCCTCTTTTTAATGTAACAAGTCGTTTTGAAAAATCACTTTTAGTTTTTGAGAAATAAATTTTTGAAATGATCGACAATTTTTTCGAATTTTGCAATTTTCACCGATTAAGTTTTAAAAATTCGTATAAAATCCACTTCTTAGAATATGAGTTTGAAAATTTCCCAAATTGTTAATAAAAGTGTCTTCTTTCCAATGAACCAACCAGTTTTGGAAAATAGCTTTTAGTTTTTGAGGAAACAATATTTGAAGATTTGATAAAATTTTCGATGTTGCAATTTTCATCGATAACTTTCAAAATTCGCTATAAAATTCATTTCTTGAAGAATCCTTGTGGAAATATCACCGATTATTAATTAAAGTATCCTCTTTTTAATGCAACAAGTCGTTTTGAAAAATCGCTTTTAGTTTTTGAGAAATAAATTTTTGAAATGATCGACAATTTTTTCTAATTTTGCAATATTCACCGATTAAGTTTTAAAAATTCGTATAAAATCCAGTTCTTGGAATATGAGTTTGAAAATTTCCCAAAGTGTTAATAAAAGTGTCTTCTTTCCAATGAACCAATCAGTTTTGGAAAATAGGTTTTAGTTTTTGAGAAAACAATATTTGAAGTTTTGATAAAATTTTCGATGTAGCAATTTTCATCGATAATTTTCAAAATTCGCTATAAAATTAATTTCTTGGAGGATCCTTGTGGAAATATCACCAATTATTAATTAAAGTATCCTCTTTTTAATGCAAAAAGCCGTTTTGAAAAATCACTTTCAGTTCATGAGATATAAATTTTAGAATTTTTCAATTTTCGTCGATTAAATTTTGCGGCTTTTCTCAAAATCACTATCCGTTCCGTCACTACCAACCATATACTCGACCTACACGTAATTCGTAATCGGCTGCCCAAAAGATCCCACCAATACCAAGTTTTATATAAAAAAATTAAAAGAAAATGAAAAAGTGTTATCAGCTTGATCGGAGTTTTAAATGGAAAATTTTTGTTGTATCTCAATTTATGGTTAATTTTGGCCCTCCTTCTTTGAATATATTACTAATTATATCATAATAAAGAAATTTAAAAAATTTAATGAATTGAATTTTCCTTATTTGTCATTGACTTTTTACTTTTGGCCAGCTAGAATCGAGATTTAACCCAATGTGCGGCATTAAATGAAGGTTCCACAGATTGTCACAACAAAATGCGCTATGATTTTGCTTTACTTGTAAAAGGAGAAAGAATCTTCGCCAACTTCACCGACAATATCTAGTTTAAATAATAAAAAAAAGTTTAGTGATATGGGCCAACTTACAATTAGTAATTTCTTCTAAATGATGCAAATGAGTTCATTATAATTCTAAATATTAATTTTATTAGAAACATTTTATAAAATCCGAATTCCTCACTTTCTTACAGCAAAAAATGGGATTTCGGGATGCAAAGGGCACACTCAGCGATCGCTTCATCCAAACAAAAGATGGCATGGGAGTCAGCAAATGATAAAGGAAAAAGATAAAAAAAATTATAATAAATATCAATTATTGTGTAACGTTTTTAAAATTAAAATAAATTCTAATTTATAGCACACACATTAAATTTCTCTATATTATATAAATATATATATTTTTTAATTTATTATAATATATTATATTAAATTAAATTTGAATTTAATTTCAGTTCTAAACGTGGATTGGATTTGGGTTTGGGTCGTGGATATTCTGGTTCTCAAGCTGCTAAACATTTAATGGGTTTGGCCGCGGCGAATTTCGCCGGAGGACCCGGAAGGAGACGTCGAAGTGTTGAAGATTTCGCATAAATTACAATAAAAAAACAAAAATAAATCCAATTCCCTTTAGATTGTTTAGAAGCAAAACAAAAAAAAACATGTAACAATAAAAAGAAAATATAAATAAAAAAAAAATATATACACAATGTTCCTAAATGTCCCCAAGGTACTACTACAATATTTATCCCTCTTTGTCCAACTTTATCGAGGAAAACTAAACCCCCCCTAAACCTCTCTCTCGATGTGTGTCTACTCCTTTAAAATCAAAAAAAAATATATACCAAAATAACCTAATTATTATTAATAATAATTAATCGGTGTCTAAAAATATATTTAATGTTAATTAAAAAAAAAAATAATGATAATAAAAAATTTAGTGGCTGCATTTTTTTAGTTGTTTCGTTATTATTTTTATTGTAATTTAGATTAGATTAGAAACAGATAAAACGATTTAAACCTCAAAGTCATAAATAAAATTTAAACTGATCAATGAAAATATATTTGCGAATTTATTTATTTACACATTTCCTTTTTGTATGTACACTTTCAAAGTAAATAAAACTAAAACTGATGGGGAAAGGAAATGGTTAACCTAAACAATCTTGGAAAGGAACAAAGTTCCTAACTAAGTTATTTCAGTGTTCGAAAGTAATCTTGTTGAATCAAATAAAAAAAGTACAAAGAAAATAAATAAAATAGCAAAATAATCAATTAAACTCAAATTTACTTAATAAGGTAAAAATATAAAAAAGTTGTATTAAAAAATGGCAAAAAATTAAAAAAATTTACTTAATAATGATGGAATTAGTTAAAAGATATGTATTGGGAATTTTATATAACTCGCCATATATGAATGCAGAAACCATAGTTACTAAACTAAACTAGTATGATCTTGCACTGCTCCACATAGAATGCAATATAGTTTAATAGTAGAGGCATTAAAAGTTTTGTTTGAAAAAGGTGACGTCTAAACGCACGAATATTTCTGGTTCTAGGTCTAGTTTTAGTTCTACTCTTCGTTCAATAAAAATATACAACAATCTAGCGCCTAATAACAGTTAAAACTACAACTAACACTAGACTTAGAACTAGAAAGTTTCTAGGTCTAGTGTTAGTTCTAGTTTTACATTAGCACTGTTACTATGTATGTAAAACCAACACTATACCTAGAACTAGAATCATTTGTGTTTAGCCGCACGTCTCTAAAGACGGCTAAACTCAAATAATTCTAGTTCTAGGTATAGTGTTCGTTCTAGTTTTACACTAGTACTGTTACTATGTATGTAAAACTAACACTATACCTAGTACTAGAATCATTTGGGTTTAGCCGCACGTCTCTAAAGACGGCTAAACCCAAATAATTCTAGTTCTAGGTATAGTATTAGTTCTAGTTTTACACTAGCACTGTTACTAGAACTAACATTAGACTAAGGTTAATGCCATAACTGAATTTCCAAAACCAACCACACTTAAACAATTACAGCTATTCTTAGGAATGATAAATTTTTATCGCAGATTTTTGCGAGACATGTGAAACATTTTAGCTCCTTTACATCATTTATCAAAAACACTTTACTCGCAAAAACTTAAATCAATCACTTCCTAGACACATCATCACGACATTTTTTTGACTATAGCCGAAGAAGCAGTTTTATAACAGACTATAGACAATAAAGCACAACCTTTATCATTCTTTTCTCAAAAATTATCTTCAAGCCAAATAAATTATTCAACTTTAGCAATTTTCGTCGATTAAGTTTTAAAAATTCGTATTAAATTTATTTCTTGGAATATGAGTATGAAAATTTCCCAAAGTGTTAATAAAAGTGTCCTCTTTCCAATGAACCAACCCGTTTTGAAAAATAGCTTTTAGTTTTTGAAAAAACAATATTTGAAGTTTTGATAAAATTTTCGATGTTGCAATCATGCATCAAGTGACGTAAATAAGTGAGTTTTTGACAAGAACTCATTGAGAAGGCTTGTTTTTCATGGCACACTAGGCTAAATATCCNAACTAACACTATACCTAGAACTAGAATCATTTGGGTTTAGCCGCACGTCTCTAAAGACGGCTAAACCCAAATAATTCTAGTTCTAGGTATAGTGTTAGTTCTAGTTTTACACTAGCACTGTTACTATGTATGTAGAACTAACACTATACCTAGAACTAGAATCATTCGGGTTTAGCCGCACGTCTCTAAAGACGGCTAAACCCAAATAATTCTAGTTCTAGGTATAGTGTTCGTTCTAGTTTTACACTAGTACTATTACTATGTATGTAAAACTAACACTATACCTAGAACTAGAATCATTTGGGTTTAGCCGCACGCCACTAAAGACGGCTAAACCCAAATAATTCAAGTTCTAGGTATAGTGTTAGTTCTAGTTTTACACTAGCACTGTTACTAGAACTAACATTAGACTAAGGTTAATGCCATAACTGAATTTCCAAAACCAACCACACTTAAATAATACAGCTATTCTTAGGAATGATAAATTTTTATCACAGATTTTTGCGAAACCTGTGAAACGTTTTAGCTCCTTTACATCATTTATCAAAAACACTTTATTCGCAAAAACTTAAATCAATCACTTCCTAGACGACATTTTTTTGACTACAGCCGAAGAAGCAGTTTTATAACAGACTATAGACAATAAAGCACAATCTTTATCATTTTTTTCTCAAAAATTATCTTCAAGCCAAATAAATTCTACTTTTGCAATTTTCGTCGATTAAGTTTTAAAAATTCGTATAACATCCATTTCTTGGAATATGACTATGAAAATTTCCCAAATTGTTAATAAAAGTGTCCTCTTTCCAATGAACCAACCCGTTTTGAAAAATAACTTTTAGTTTTTGAGAAAACAATATTTGAAGTTTTGATAAACTTTTTAATGTTGCAATTTTCATCGATAACTTTCAAAATTCGCTATAAAATTCATTTCTTGAAGGATGCTTGTGGAAATATCACCAATTATTAATTAAAGTATCCTCTTTTTTATGCAACAAGCCGTTTTGAAAAATCGCTTTTAGTTTTTGAGAAAATAATTTTTGACATAATCAACAATTTTTTCAAATTGTCAATTTTTGCCGATTAAGTTTTAAAAATTCGTATAAAATCCATTTCTTGGAATATGAGTATGAAAATTTCCCAAATTGTTAATAAAAGTGTCGTCTTTCCAATGAATAAGCACGTTTTGAAAAATAACTTTTAGTTTTTGAGAAAACATTATTTGAAATTTTGATAAAATTTTCGATGTTGCAATTTTTATCGATAACTTTCAAAATTCGCTATAAAATTCATTTCTTGAAGGATCCTTGTGGAAATATCACCAATTATTAATTAAAGTATCCTCTTTTTAATGCAACAAGCCGTTTTGAAAAATCACT